ATAGTACTTGCAGCGTGGCCTAATGTTTCTGTTTTAATTTGCAACTTATTACTTAAAATATTTATTATACCCAATGCGAAGTGCATAACATGTAAATTTACCACAAATTCTGTTTTTTGTATAGTAGCTAAAATACCTGTAACAATATAATGTTTTAAAAWAGTAGTAATGTATGTATTTCAAACTAATTCACCAATAGCTCTAGAAACATCTTTATCATTGTCCTCCTCAACTTCATGGTTTAAAACTTCCACAATAGAACTAAAATTTTCAATAACTGCTTTGCAGTTTTTATGTCTGCATACCCAACGGGTATCACTAATAGCAGATAAAGTTAACTTATTCATTTTTAATTGTTTTTGTACTTCTTGCAGTTTTTTGTTTTTTTTTTTGAGTAGAAAAATGAACATAAATAGCCTCTAATGTATTGAATACAGTTTTGGAGTACTATAAAAAAAAAATGGAAAAAAATTAAACTTAAAATCTAAAAGTAAACATGTAACATCTAATATAATTATTAACTTAATTAAATTATGTACAGATTTGAAAAATATTAGATACCTAAGCTATTTTATATACTATTAAAAAACAAATTGAATTGTACTGTACCTTTACATGCTTGCACATATTAWTAACAACGAGGTTCAACTTGTGCGCCATACAATGAATGTATATAGCATCAGGATAATGTTCCCTTAATAAAGTCTGTACTCCTCTTTTRGAACCAGACATTACATTTGCGCCATCATATGATTGGGCAATAATTGGAATATCATCAATTTTCAGTACTTTTAAGTATGATAAAATAGCAGATACAAGAGAAATAGCATTTTGGCTTTCAGACACATTGATAAAACCTAAAAACCGTTCAAAAACTTTAAAGTTGTTTGAATATCTAATACAAAGTGACATCTGCTCCTGTTTATGGCATCTAAAAAATTACAAGCAATTATAACATATGTATTTATTTTTTAATTATATTTTTATTTACCTAGCTTCATCACACATAATTGAATAACTACCAGCTTTTTTAATTTCTGTGACAATCATACTGCGAACATTTTCAGCACACATTCCAATCAGTTCATTTTGAAGCAAAGGACTTGTATAGTTAATTTCTCCATTAAATACTTGATTAAATTCTGGCTTATGTTCACACATCAATTTACACGCTTCTAAAAAATTTCSTAAAATGTAAAAAATAATTATCACTCCATTCACTAATATTAAATTTAAGGTCATAATAAAATATATAAAYATCTATTTATATATAAACTAAAATAATTTTATACCTCTGTTTAGGGAATCCTCATTTTCAATATTTCCTCGGAATGCAATACCTTGCCGTGCCAAATATAACAAAATATCTATAAGCGTTTTTAAGTAAGATCTGTTCTTTAGGATGAAATCTTTGTGAGCATTTGATACTTGACACAGAATGTTACCAGTTTTTTTACTAGAATTATGTCCATCCATTTTAGTTAAGTTAATTAAATGTGTTTGCGTTGCTGCATGTGCATTGAGCTTGGAGTGTTTTGAAAATTTTGTCCCCAACTATAGTATACAAATACACCAAACATAACTATAGTACTCAATACCTTATCATTCCATTAAATTTTATTAAATACAAAAATTAATATTTACTCTTTTCCAATTTGTAAAACCACTTTTGGTAAAAACATTATCAGTAGAACTACATCCAAATATTCTACAGCAAAAGCAAAAAACTGCATCTTTTTCTACACTATATATTCAATCCACTTGAACTCATTATAGTATTTGGCATTAAACGATCTTTTTTGATTACCAAAAACTGTCATGGGATATGCCTGAAAATTAATTTTTGTAAAAAAACAATGAATTGGTTTGTTTTTATTTATTAAGAATTTAAATAATTTTGGGAAAAAGTATTGGGCTAATTACCTTTAAAAACTTTACTAGCTACTCTTACATACATGTAGGTAGATAATAAAATTATTATTTTCGTTCTGACATAAAATTGTAATTAAATTACTTTACTTTTTCAATTAAAAAGTAACTTACTGGTAAAATTGGTTGTGCAGGGCCTGTGTTCAAATCTCCTAAATCCTTAACAATGTTAACCTGAGTATCTGAATGCTTCAAATCATAGTTTAATTTATTTGAAATATTATTTGGATCATCAGTATAATTATGTGAAATATCAAATGATTCTGGATCATCTGGATCAGAATCATTTGCATTTATCAAAACATTTAAATTGGATTTTTTTATGACCTGTTCAAAATATAAAAATAATATGTATGAATAAAATGAATATTGTATGTATAAAATCAATAGTTTTTATTTATTAGATATAGGTACCTGYTGAGAGGAAGTAGTGTTTATTGGAATGTTCTTCAGAGTATCGTCTTCAGAAGTTTTCGATTTTTTAAAATTAAAAATGCTAAACATATTTATTATTTATGTAGGTATAAATGTTGAAACGGTTAAATGAATACAATAAAATGCAGCGAATTCAATTTATTAAATACAATACGAATAGGAACACGATTTTAGATAGTCAACTGTCAGTCTGTAAATGACTCGTTGTGAACTAGTGACAGTTGTCTTATGATAAGTTACTTATAATAAAATTGTATTAATCAATAACYATTCAAAATAATAAAAATAAAGGAAAATCTATTTATAGGTCGAAAAATACCACTATCGAAACATTAGTTTCATACGTTATCGGTAATATTTATATATTTAGATGACGCGGTTTACCCAGTATCTGTATGCCTTCATACCAGCACTCACACAGTCACACCTCACACATCGACATCGGACATCCGCGTTATATAGACATACCTACTACGTATAGAATATAGATATACATTTGGGCGGCAAACTGTTAAAATAGCCATCCACAGATCATAACGATCATAGTTTTTGGAACGAAAACCTACCTACATATTATTATATTTATAGCTTTTACCATTGATTATAGTTTATATAATTATCAGTTAATATTTAAATATAATTTATAAATTATATAATTTATTWTTATAAAGATAGGTAACATAAATATTAAAATATCTTAGGGAGGGCTTGAGATGGCTTAGGGAGGGCTAAGCCCTCCTAAGCCCCCCCCCTATTTACGTCCATGATGTTCAAATATTTCAATTGAACGTTTTTCGCAAATCGCACATTAAGAACCATGTCAACCACAACCAATAGAATTAAAAGATGGTAAATTTCCTTCAAGAAAGCAAGGACAACATTTGAGATCATTCCATGAGCAACATTATTTTAAAAAATTGCAACAGGGGAGTTTGTTARGCGTAAATGGCTATCTTATTCACAAACTGAGGATAAAGTTTTTTGTATTGTATGCAAACTATTTGGCACAGTCGAYGGAAAGTCTAACCAACTTGCTAGATGTGGTTCTAATGACTGGAGACATATATCATATAARCTTGATACTCATGAAGCATCTCCAAACCATTTGCAATCTGAGGTTAGAAAAGTTATGTATTTGAGTAATCAAAGAGTAGATATAAAATATTTACAAGATTCTAATAGCAAAGTTGCAGAGAATAGAGAAATTGTAAAAATAATATTTGAAGTGTTATTATATCTCGGTCGTCAAAATTCATCCTTAAGAGGTCATAATGAATCTTGGTTATTCAAGAATCAAGGAAACTTTYTCGAATTAATTAAGCTTTWTGCTAAACATAATGCATTACTTTCTTCTCATATCGCWATACTTGAATCTGCCCAGAAAAAAWTCGATTGACTTATTTATCTAATAATAGCCAAAACACAATGCTTTTAGTTATGAGTGATATTGTCCGTTCTCAAATATTAAAAAAAGTGAAAAAAGCTGGCATTTTTGGGTTGTTACAGCGTATATACACATTTGCAATGCATATTAAACGTGTGCATATCATTTCAGCACATTAAAAAGGGGGCTGATTATAAATGTAAAATGTATTACATATGCACAGCATAGCCGCAGTTCTATTTGATTTAATATCATCCAACTGCTATTTTACAGCACCTTAATATGAAGATCTATGTATTTAAATTTCCAAAGTTACGGTGATTTCATTTGATGAAATTTATGTAGCACAATAATTTTGTTATGACAAAAAAATGTACCTACCTTATAAGTTATATTGTACGAATATTCAATTTTAATTTTCAAATATTTCTTATTTTAATTTTAAACTATCCATGTTATATATTGTAAACAAAATTGTAATCCTGTGTTTATTTTTAGTTGAGGCTGAATGTTTGAAAAATAATATTGATGATCCAGATCCAATTGAAATTTCTAGTTTTTGTGGTATGTACTATGACCTACCTTATATTGTATGAATATTCAATTTTTTAATTTTATAAACATTTTTAATTTTAATTTTAATTTATCCATGTTATGCGTTGTAAAAAAAATTGTAATCCTGTTTTTATTTTTAGTTGATACTGGATTGGATATTGATGATCAAATGCTCATTTCTGGTTCTGGTAATAATTCATTGAAAAAAAAATTTATATTTAATTTTTTCGTTTTTTTTTTATTAATGGCCCTAATAAAAATAAAGAGTTGGTGAATTTTAATGTACAAACATCAGAATTTAATAATCTAGATGAGATTGACATGCACATTGTAAGAATATTTAATAATTGATGTGTTTAATGATTAGATTAAAATGATTAATATTCAGTGTTGGGATTAGATAAGAACTTTTTACCTAGATAAAGATGAAGATAACATCATAAAAATGTATCTAGATAGAAATAAAAGATAATTAAATTTAAATCCATCTAGATAATGATCAAAGATAAATTAATTTTTATCTAGATAAAAAAATACTTTTTATTATATACTTTGAACTTAGAAGTATAACTTTTTGTGAGTACACGTTAGATATGAGCATATGACATACTACTTTAACACTATTTTAACTTGCTACATGTTAAAATCAATGTTTTTGGTTGACAATCTATCTATTTTATAAAGATTCAATATGACTAGCAAAAGTTTACAATGCGTTAATATAGATTTATCATCTGTGGTAAAATTATACAAATCACTTGAATTATATATTTGTGAATTAAAGGACCATGAAACAAAAAAATGATTTTGGCTTAATTAATAGTTAGTCAATTACTATAACTAACGGTGGTACTAAAATTTGTATACGTCGATTCGTTAAGGCGCTAGAGCCAAA